AATGAGATCAACATAATTATTGTGTACACAAATGATATACTTTAAAACAATTTTTATCACGAGATAAACATAAATAGACGTCGCATTATTCACACCTAATTTTTGAACGACTGCTGCAAGTTTCCAACCTACAGGTCCTTGGCGCTTTTATGTCGTCGCTGGTTGGAAAATGCTCATATCCATCATATCGTTTCTCTGCCGACGGTCTGTTGGCTGGTCTATATATTTTATATTTTCGACGCGGAGCTGCAGACTGATCTTCATCTTCATCTTCACTATGCCTTCGAGCTCTACTTGGTGTAGAAGATAAAGCATCCGCCACATTCAAGCGAAAATCCAGTAAAGGCTTAGTGTCTTTCCTTGCATAATTATTACTGTTGCAGTCGATTCTATACAGCCTCCAAGAGTTTACCAGCGCGAGGTCAAAAAAATGCGTCAATAATTTTAGGGTCCATTTTTTGGTTTAAATAAATGTTCGATAATACTCCATTTGTTGATCCAGTACATCTACTCCTCCCATGTGTTGGTTATAATTTCTTACTATATTTGGAGCAGTTACGTCGACGTACCGTTTCATAGCTTTATCCCACCTTTTTACGAGAGTAGTTGCACCGGACCCAGTACAGTTTGATGCGAGTAACACGGATTTATTATCTTTCCACTTTACGATTGTAGTAGGTTCACAAACAAATTGTTGGCTTTCTCCACGAGTCATTTGAACGTCCGTTTTAAATTTTATTGTAGCTCGGTCAGGGATACGATTTAACATTATTGTCCCGGTAGAATGCAGATTTAACTTGTTCATTTCTTCAATTAAAGGTACTGTGGTGAAATATCTATCGTGATTCACACAGCTACCAGGAGGAATACTTTTAGATAAATGTAGGATTACCGAAGGACCAAGGCCAAGATTCGTATCACCAAACATCGTCCTTGCACCTCTGTATATGTCGAAATCCAACATCAATCCCTCACTAGTCGTGAGGACGAAGTTTTTAAACCCTACAGGCCTAGGTTTGTTTTTCACTACCTGACGTAGTTGACAGCGGCCTGTAAATGGTATCATCTGCTCATCAATAGAGTAGAATCCCGGCACCCTTTCTAATTTATTACACGCACGTTTAATTTGATCGATCATGGGTTGAACCTTCCATAGTGGATTAACAATTTCAGTTGGAGGTGGTGAATCTGAATCAACTACGTGTAGTGCATTACGAAGGGTAAAAAACCTGTCCCGTGACATTAAACCGCCGATAATTTCCAACCTAGTACCAACCCTCCAATACATAGGCAGTCGAGGATAAGGAACACATCCCATGATAATTTGTATTGCAATAAGCTTCGCGATCTCACTGCTTGTACTGCTGCTTGAGATTGAGTCGTTGTTGGAGAAGGATGTTGCGTCATTGAAGCAGAAGGTTGCGGCATCGATGTAGACGGAGGCTGTATCACACGTGAACATATCAATGGTGATAATTGATGACTGATTTCTTCATCTTCATTAGGAATATCACCATCGCAGAGATCTTCGCAATCCAATTGATCAAACAGATTATTTAGTTCAAAATCCAAGTCATTGTCGCTAAAATCTTCAATCTCCGATAGATTTCCATCCATCAATTGTTCAAATATTGCATCATCCGTAATTCGAGCCCCTAATACAAAAGAAAATACAATTTTAATACTAAATGGAATCAAAATAACAAATAAAACACAAAACATCGAAATGTTATAATATCACGTCGTACGACCGATGTTGCATGATCGTGCGTGTTTAATTTTGACGATAAATTATTACAAAACTAATACGTTGCTTTACAAAAACTTGATGATTATATCTAGATAAACTCGTATTTTATTGAAAAACAACGAATAAATATTAATAATACAATACAATTACTAAAAATATATCTACTTACGTGCAGAGGCGCCGGGATTAAAAGACGCAGCCATCCCTCATGCGGGTTTCAACGAACTGGTAGGACGAAACGTGTGCGCAAAGTGCAAAACTATTTTTTGTTTCATTCTTAGATAGTGTCACGATAGATCGATGCCGGTTGCGTCCGCTAAAGTTGTTTACATATTTACCTAGAATTTTGTAAAGTCGAAACTCACGTTCATTCTAACTCGGTTGGAAAGGGATACGAGGTCATGGTTAGGTAATAGAATCTATTAAAATTAACTTAATTTTTGGCCAAGCATTCTCATTACATTTATTTCTCTATCCAGAATATTTGAAAAATCTATATATTAAAATGAATCCCTTTTTCCCTTGGTCACGGTATCACGCGTGAATGGCTGGATCGATTTTAATATTTCTATTTCACTTGTTTTTTGTTGTATTTGTTAATATTAGGAGAAGGTTGTTCATAACATCACGCCCTTTATCCCCGAAGGGGTAGGCAGAGGTGCACATCATACTACTGTTAACTGTACAATGTAACACCCACTTTTCACTAGCTATGTTATACAATAGGGGTGAGCCTATTGCCATATACCGGGAACAGTTCCAGACTCCGTGCTACTACTGAGAATATTTAAAAAAACCCAGTAATACTTTGCCCGACCCGGGAATCGAACCCGAGACCCCTTGCCCGGCAGTCGCAATTGCGACCACTCGGCCAACGAGAAGGTTGTAATGAAAGAAAAATCCTGAAAATCCTACGGGAACGGGGGAGAAAACGGGATTGCGAGTACGAAGTCGCCGGCAAAAGCTAGTCCTTAATAATTAGAAAGCCTCGACAAGTTCCACAGCTGAACAGTTTCCCAGCCACTGCGACATCCATACTTAACTGATCAGTAATTGCCGCTGCATTATTGAATTATTGCTATAAACGAAAATTGATTAAAATATTTGTTGTTTGCAAGTAACTCACAATCTGATATTGACAAATTGTATTTTGCATTTCATCTGTTGGTAAAAGACAATAATAATAATAAGCTAAAAGAAAATAATCAATTCATAGTCCTATTCATCAACAGCCTATAAATGCCCACTGCTGAGCAAAGCCTCTTCTCACACGGAGAAGGTTAGAGCATTAATCACCACGCTTGCTCAATGCGGGTTGGCGATTTCAAACTTATAATTAGAAATTATAAGTTCAGGTTTCCTCACGATGTTTTTCCTTCACCGTTTGTCAGTGGTGTCTAAATAATCTTAGAAAGTACATATAACTCGGAAAAAGTCACATTGGTACTTGCCGTTGGTAGGTTTCGAACCCGCACCCTCATGCATGAGAAGTGGGCGTCTTAAACCTCCGGGCCACCACGACATATGTGTGACGACGACCACGACATAGTCCTATTATTATGCTCCTATTATTATAAGTGTGGGAGAACCATGATTCGGCACGAATGGGCCGGCTCGACCGGAGTGATACCACGGCCTCACAGAAAACCGACGTGAACTAACGCTTGCGTTGTGTTTCGTCGTGTGAGTGAGGTTACCGGGGGCCCAATTACCCTCCCCTTCCCCAATCTCCCCAATTCCTCAAACCCCCTCAAAGATCGTTGGGGAATCCCTAACGATCCTCAAACTCCTAATCCCCAAAAGGCCGGTAACGCACTTGTAATGCCTTTGGTGCTCCAGGTGTCCATGGGCGACGCCGATTGCTTACCATCAGGTGATCCGTCTAATCTATTACCGGCTTATGCCAAAAAAAAAGCAAGCGAAATAGACAGCGGCCAAGCGCCTACCCATTACCAAGATTTGTAACACAGGTATTTATTTTTGTATTTCTACCTTAGACACAAGTCTCATAATGTAACGTCTTAAATAATTTGTAACCGTGGAGTAATTTTGAGAAAATGAAGATTTATTTAACATAACATAACATCACATCACGCCTTTTATCCCCAAAGGGGTAGGCAGAGGTGTAAGTACATTACGGCACTTAATGCTACTGTACAATATAACACCCACTTTTCACTATTTATGTTATGAGTCCCATCAGTCCCATGTAATAGGGGGTGAGCCTATTGCCATATATCGGGCACAATACTGAGATTTTTTGTAAAAGCCCTATTATACTTTGCCTGACCCGGGAATTGAACCCAAGACCCCTTGCCCGGCAGTCGCGATTGCGACCAGTCGACATTTATTACGTATATTTACAAAAGTTGCATAAAAGCACTTTCATTTTAAAACAATAAGTTAATATGATTAAATTACATTAATGGTCTAAGATCTGATAATATAACATCAACCTTTACCGAACTGTTTAATGGATAAAAACTACTCGATAGATAATTACCAATTACCCTCCCTCCCCAGTCTCCCCGATCCCCGAATACCCCATAATCCTTGATTTTGTTTTTATAATAACTATCGTGAGACACACTAAATTAAGTAAAAACGCGGGTTACTCACGTGAATATACTGAGAAAATCTCTATTCACATAATTATAATTATTAATGACTAGCTGTCCCGGCAAACTTCGTACCGCCTAAAAGTTTTTTCTCACCTTTTAAACCTTCCCTAGACTTCCACGAACCTATCAAGACCAAAATTAGCCAAATCAGTTCAGCCGTTCTCGAGTTTTAGCGAGACTAACGAACAGAAATTCATTTTTATTTATATAGATTTCAGAATGATTGTCTACTGCTAGCGAATGTTTTACAGTAATTTTTGCTTTAAGTAATGATGTCCTTCCTATCCAATACGACGCAAATTTATCTTCCTATCTTAAACCAATAAGGAACGTATTTGATAATGTAATTATATACGAACCCAATAAAATTCATTTCATTATCCAATCAATCGAATCATAAATTTAGTTTTAAGTGCAATCTTGTATCAACTCATTAGATAAAGAATTATCTAAATATACATACTGCATACAGATTAGTAGATAAACTCCAATATAAATATTCGCGAAAAATATTAATTGGCATAGTCTTCTTACAAGCAGACAATAAGTAAGTATTAGTACCACGGTACTACTTTAGTAATATTCTAAGTGTAATTAGTAAAAAAATAACAAATACAATGTATAATATTTTCAGATAAATCAAAATGAAATACTTCATCGCCATCGCCCTGCTCGCCGCCGTGGCTTCGGCCGGTATGATCAAGCCCACCCCAGTGGGTGCTGAGCTCGCCGAGCTCCAGGAGATCATCGCCGCCATCAACAGCCCCAGCACCGACCCCGCCACCGCTGCCGCCCTCGAAGAGATGCTCCTCGATGTTCTAGGCATCAAGCCCCAGCCTGTGGACATTGGACCCGCAATCGTTGACGCTGACCTCCACCCCATCTCTATCGGACCTGCCATCATTGAATCCAACCCCATCTCTGTTGGACCCGCCCTCATTGACTTCCCTCTTCCCGACGGTGGTGCTGTCGCCGAGGAGCCCGTTGTCCCTAGCCCCGTTATTGTCGCTCCCGCTCCCGTCGCTGAGGTCGCCCCCGTTGCTGCTGCCAGCACTCCCCTGGTTCAGATCATCCTGAACATCAACCAGGCCTCCGCTGAGGCTAGCCCCATCGCCGTTGGCCCTGCTGTCGCCCCCGAAGCCATCGTGCCTGAGCCCGTCCACGTTGTGGATGTCGCCCCTGAACCCGTCCACGTTGTGGAAGTCGCCCCTGAACCAGTCCAGGTTGTCGAGGCCGCCCCCGAGCCAGTCCAGGTCGTTGAAGCCGCCCCTGCACCCGTTGAGCCCGTCGTCATCGGAGTCCCCATCCTCCCTGAAGCCGTCGTCGCCCTCCCCGAAGCTCTCAACTAAGTAATAAAATAATTTATTGAAATATTTTTAAGTATACTAACAATAAAATCGTTGCATCTATTTTAATTTTTTTTTACAACTCTATTTCCAACATAGGTAAGACTAAAATTTTTGGTGTGCTTAAAATTGATGATGATTAAAAAAATGTATGAACTTATAAAGTGTTTAAAACTTGTGCTCTCTAGACATCTTCATTGTTTATTAATAAACATTGGAACTACTGGATGATGATCTTAATAAAACTAAAACAGAGAAAAAGAAAACAACTGTACAATCAGTTAAAACTACCTACGCTTGCGACTTCGCGTAGAAACTGGATAGTTCTTTACAGTTCCTCCCCCATAGTTAATGGCGTGATAATATATGTTGATCCCATCTTTTACTAGGTAATACTCATGCAAAACTTGAATTAAATCTATGCAGTAATTTTTTTATTAACATAGGTACATACAGACAAATAGACAATAAAATCTTAGTATACTTTTGGATCACGTCAAAAGTACTACTTAAAAAATTGGGGAAGATGACAGGGTATGAAAATTAAAAATATAATTAGTCCGTAACTTAGGTAATAAAAAAATATTAGACACGTATTTTTTTATTTTGTTGTATAATAAAACAATACTTAGATAAAACGAATCAAAGTTTAGGAGTGGGGGCTAAAACGTCATTTCTTAGTATAAAATGTACTGAGAAGTGACGTCACGCGACATTTCAAATCAATATATCTTCGAAACTATTCGTTTCCGTAAGAAAATAAAAAATACGTGTCTAATGTTTTTAAATAATCTACCAGGCGGACATTAAAAAAAAAATTAGTCGTCTTCCCTCGATTTTATTTTAAGTACAGAATAGATGTCAATAGTTAGGACAATAACGGTAAACAAAGACAAGTTTGAGATAAGCCCAGTCTGGCACGAGCTCTGCGGATAAAAGATTTACCTGGTAACATAAAAGATAATAAATAAATAAACCTTTATTTAGAACATGCAAATACTTGGTTTTGAACTAAGAACTAGTATTATTCTCTAATTATTGTTGTTTGTTTAATCTCTAATTATTCCGTTTGCCAATTGGCAACCAACCCATACCATTCCTGTATCTCTTGGGCCATTCTATTCTACATAACTCCCACCACTTTTTGTCTGATTTCATCATGGCACCTTTTCAGTTGTCTGCCTCTTTTCCTCTTCGTTTTCTGGAAAACCATCGTGATACAATTTTACTCCATTTATCTTTTCCTCGTATCATATTATGCCCTGTCCATCTCCTTTTTTCATCATTTGTGAGAAAGTTGTATAATATTGTTGTTTTAATCAGTTACATGTTTAAGACGAACCACTTAATGAGTCACAAGATAGAATTAAAATATTTCCAATCACACTTTCTGTGTGATAAATTCCTAATTCGTCCAATGCACTATGTTGATTGTGTGGACGATGATGGTTTTCAAATTTGCAAATGTTGCCACAGAACAAGGCATGATGTCTTCATTGAATTTTATGTGTAGTTGCGGTATGGTGACGACGCGACGTTTTGTTTTATCTCTGGAGGAATTATACTACTTAAGGTGTACTATAAAAAAAAGATAATTCAATTTATCTAAACATTAAAGTTCACGGCTCATACGTAATCTACACCCAGAAGCATTCTACAGCAAGCATTATTTTAATAAACATTTTGTAAAGTTGATATACTAGGGGTGCACTCCCAATATTTGTAGCTTTAATAAATCGTTTAATGCTTTGTAAGTCCGTCATAATACTAAACTTTGACTGAGTTACATAATAAACATTACATTACAACAAAGTTGCTGTACACAATACACATATAATGCTAGGCTAAAGTAATTTTTTTTTTTTAAGGGGGGAAAATCATCGAATGACTGCTCCCGCCTAGGTGAGGCGGGAGGGAGTGTCAGACTCTTACTGACTAAAAACCACCCCGTTCCTTCTCCTGCACGTCGAGCCGGAGCCCCGGTTACCCGTTAGGTTCTCCGCGACAGGCTAAAGTAATATTAGCAGAGGGCCGGTTATTTCTTCGGCTAGAAAATTAGCATTGCCATCCAAGAAAGTTAGCAATGCTGTCAGTCTTCTGGGAACGTTCCTCAGAGACAATGATGTGAATGAATTCTTCGACGTCTAATACAGGTGTTCTAGTCTAGTTACTTTTCCACTCTTTTTATTATTATAAAAGTGAAGTTCAAAGGAAATTGCAGACCTGAATGCAGATGAATAAAGAAGGAAGATATATTGCGTGAAGAAGTATTTTAAGAAAAGAAAGCATGTGGTGTGATGATGTCTCATACAGAGGAGAATAGAAAATGAGAACATATTGTCACAAGTTTCTTTACAATATCGGTAAAAGAATATTGATAATTGACTGATTAGTGAATCCATACTTTCTCTATCTAGTGTTTGATTGTGAAGAAGTATTTTTATTCTAGACTTTATTTGCTTATCTAATTGCAGCTGTAATACAGAACCCTCTAGACTATGAAGTCACCATAAAAGATGATAATACATGAATTGCATTTATAGATTCGTAGATAAAACAGAATATAAATAGTTACAGAAACCAGAAAACGCCAGTGTTTTTCACGCTTTTCACTCAGTGAGTATTCAAAGAAAATATTGTTTTTGTTGCTGAAAACCTGTGCTTATAACTATACATAGAACATAAAATACAATTGATTACTTACTAACTTTTATTATTTTGTTTCCAGTTCCATCAAGATGAAATACTTCCTAGTCATTGCCCTTTTGGTCTCCGTGGCTTCAGCCGGCATTGTGAAGCCCACTCCCGCCGGCAACGAGGTGGCTCAGATCCAGGAGATCATCGCCGCTATCTTGAACCCCAGCACTGACCCTGCCACCGCTGTCGCTCTCGAAGAGATGCTCCTCGATGTCCTTGGTGTGAAACCGGAGCCTGTTGCAATTGGACCCGCCATCATTGACTACCCCTTACCTGAGGAGGCACCTGTTGTACCTCCCAGCCCCGCTGCTGAGGTGGCTGCACCTGTAAATAAATCTCCTTTAGTCCAGATCATCGTGAACATCAACCACGCCTCTGCTGACATCAGCCCCGTCGATATTGGTCCTGCTATCATCCCAAGGCCGGTCCCTGAGCCTGGCCATATCGAGGATATTGTCCCTGAACCCGTCCACGTTGTAGACGCTGCTCCTGAACCTGTGGAGCCGGTCATCATCGGCGAACCGATCCTCCCTTCACCAGCCGTTGTCCTCCCCGATATACTGAACTAAGAAATAAAGGCTATTTATAAACTGATTGCATTACATATTGAATCTATAAAATGTTTTAACATGAAATTCAATAAAAGGAATATTTTATCATGAATGTTTGTATTTTGATTGTATCAATGCAATTTAACTGTTGTATAGTAAAAAATTACTGCACAAAGATAGAAATAGTAGGTAGGTATTTTCGGTACCCAAATACACTATTCAAGTACGGCTGCACTGGCTAATTAGTTACCCATTTTTAACAGACTTCAAAAAAAGGAGGAGGTTCTCAATTCGACCGACATATATATATTTTCTTATGTTTATTCACCGATATCTCCGTTGTTTTTGATTTTTTTTTTTTGTTGAAATGGAGTTAGTCCTAGAATGGTCCCATGATAAGGAAATCATGATCTGATGATGGAATACCAGGGGAACCAAGGGGAACTTTTAAAAATTATAGGGGCGTCTAGTGCGTTTGTTAACTTTTTCATTAAGTATTAAAAACCACTACAATCTAATAAATGTTTGGAGTCGATCTAATGAAAGAGCCGAGAGCCAGTCGAGGGAACTCCTCAATGGTTACGTTGTTCCCTCTTGTTCTTGTTGTTGTTCTTTTTCTACAGAGTTCCCTCGATAATAGCTATCTTGTGTTTGGGTCTGATTAATTGTATTGACGAGGAGTTACACTTAAGTGCCTGATGATGAAGTAGTACATTAGGTGGGGGAACACCTCAACGGTTACCAGTAGCTATGTTGTGTTTGGGTTTGATAGATACGACAAATACAACAGATACGACTGACACGACAAATATGACAGATACGACAGATACGATCAATACGATATACGACCGACACGACTGACACGACAAATAGGACAGATGCGACAAACACGACAGATACGACAGATACGACCGTAACGACAGTAACGACCGACACGTCAAATACGACCGACACGACAGATACGACCTACACGACAAATAAGACCGACACGACAAATACGACAGATACGACAGATACGACCGACACGACAGATACGACAGATACGACAGATACGACCGACACGACAAATACGACAAATACGACAGATACAACCGACACGACAAATACGGCAGATTCTACAGATACGACCGACACGACAAACACGACAAATACGACAAATACGACCGACACGACAAATACGCCAAATCTGACCGACTCGACAAACACGACAGATACGTCCGACACGACAAATACGACAGATACGACCGACACGACAAACACGACAGATACGACCGACACGACAAACACGACAGATACGACCGACACGACAAGTACGACAAATACGACTGACACGACAAATACGCCAAATACGACCGACACAACCAATACGACAGATACGACAAATTCGATAAATGCGATCGACACGACAAATACGCCAAATACGACCGACACGACAACCACGACAGACACGACAGATACGACCGACACGACAAATACAACAGATACGACCGACACGACAAATACGACAGATACGACAAATACGCCAAATACGACAAATACAACTGACAAGACAAATACAGATACAACCGACAAAACAAATACGACAAATACGACCGACACGACAGATACGACAGATACGACCGACACGACAGATACGACAAATACGACCGACACGACAAATACGACAGATACAACCGACACGACAAATACGACAGATTCTACAGATACGACCGACACGACAAACACGACAAATACGACAAATACGACCGACACGACAAATACGCCAAATATGACCGACACGACAAACACGACAGATACGACCGACATGACAAATACGACAGATACGACCGACACGACAAACACGACAGATACGACCGACACGACAAACACGACAGATACGACCGACACGACAAATACGACAAATACGACTGACACGACAAATAGCGGGAATCAAAAAATGCTCTAAGCGAAAAAGAGACATGCTGTGGGAATATTGAAAATCACCTAGCTTAAACAACAAAATTAAACTAAAACTATATACAAAGAGATTGAAGCTGATAATTAAGCAAACACAAAAAGTACAAAATAATCACTTTATAAATCTTTCCGAAAACAAGAGTAAGGCTACGTGGAACATTATTAATAAACAGAAGGAAAATAAACCAGATAAAAATTGACAATAAAGTTATTACTAATCCAGGACAAATATCTATCAGAATCGTTTAACCAACATTTTCAGAATCAAAATGATTCTCACAATGACATTAACTATAAAAATATACTGACATTTAACACGAATTCCAATTCTATATTCATGATACCCACAATACCTGATGACATTATAAAAACAATAAATTCATTAAAAAATACCAATAGTGTTGGATATGATGATATATCCACCAAGGTAATTAAAGCTACCTCTGCTATTATTGCACCGGTACTCAGTCACATCATCAATAATTGCATCGAGAAAGGCATATTCCCAGAAAAACTGAAAACCTCAGTAATTATACCAATATTTAAGAAAGGTGACAAACTCGACCCTAATAATTATAGACCAATAGCATATAATAAAATATTTGAAAAAATAATTCAAAAAACATATATTACTTTCTAGAAGCTAACAAACTTATAATAAGAGAACAATATGGTTTCAGAAAAAATAAAAGCATAAATTCAGCTATCTATGAGCTAGTGGAGTGCGCCCTTACGAACATGGACAAGAAAATTCCCATGGTTGCATTGCTTATGGATATGACTAAAGCCTTCGATCATGTTAGTCATGAAATCCTACTGATGAAGTTAGAAAAATGTGGCATTAGAGGCAACACTCATGAGCTTATTAAGTCCTATCTTACAAACAGGCAACAATACACATGTATTAAAAAAATCTGTCCCTACACAAAAACCGAAATAACGCACACTTCTAAATATCGGAAATGTTTATGCGGGGTGCCACAGGGTAGTGTCCTCGCACCACTACTATTTATAATTTACATAAATGACATGCCTAGAATAATCACCAATCCCATGATCTTATTCGCGGACGATAGCACTATACTGTTTAAAAATAATAATGACGAGACCTTTGAAAAAGAAATTAATGATAACTTAAACGACATCATAACCTGGCTAACTGCAAATAAATTAAAAATTAATCCAGAGAAAACAACTTACATATCATTTGCACAAAGAATTAGTGGTAACAGGTTTCACGTAGGATATGACGGGAAAAATATTGAAGAGACTGACCATGCTAAATTCTTGGGTATCTGGATCGATAAGAACCTAAATTGGAAATCCCACATTGATAGTGTTTGCAAAAAACTTAGCCAATCCTCCTTCGCGCTATACAACTTAAAAAAAGTGGCAAATCAGGAAACATTAATCACGGCGTACCACGGCTATATCTCATCAACATTGCGATACGGGCTTCTGTTCTGGGGAAATTCGCCGGATAGAGAAATGGCGTTCAAATCACAGAAGAAATGCATCAGGGCAATATGTGGTATACAAAGCACAGTCAGCTGCAAACCATATTTTAAAGAACTAAAACTATTAACTCTGCCCTCCCTTTACATATTTGAGGTTGCCAGCTACGTAAAAACTAACATCCACTTGTTCACCCACCCAAAAAGTAAACGTCATAAATATAGGATCTGCGCTACACAACATAAGAAAGCCATCTTCAACAAAAACATTTTAGGTATGGCACCCAAAATCTTTAATAAGTTACCTAAAGACATAATAGAAATTGACAATATTAATATATTTAAAAAACGACTACATGAATTTTTGGTAACTAAGTGCTATTATAAAATTAATGACAATTTAGATGAAAGATGCTAGACCTACTATATCCGATTTGCAATATATGTAAATTTTTGGTTTTTTCAAAAAATGTAACCAACTCTGACTATCTTGGGTGATTCTAATCAGATTAACCATAGATTTGCCTATGTCGAACGTACATATGACATTCTATACTCTTAATTTTCCTTTTAAATTGACCACTTAAATTTTGATACATACTGACATTGGATTCTATGCAATTTTGTGCTTATCATGACATCCCATATTATTATATTCCTTTATTAAATTATGACATTTCGCATTAGGGATTAAAGCTCATGATATGACTGATGACGATTGTTCAGTGGTTTAACCCCCATTATAAATGTCGTATTCCTGTGTAGATACTTAAATGACTATTAATGTATTTTTGTTTTCTAATTTAAATTAATCCATTTACTAAAACTTATATGAATTTGTATGCTTTAAGGCAAAACATAGACGGACTCACTGTATTGCATTGTATGTCAATCATTGAAACAACTTTATATAACCTATGTTTACAAATAAACGATTTCATTTCATTTCATTTCAATACGCCAAATACGACCGACACGACAAACACGACAGACACGACAAATACGACAGATACGACCGACACGACAAATACGACAGATACGACAAATACGCCAAATGCGACAAATACGACTGACACGACAAATACGACAGATACAACCGACAAAACAAATACGACAGATACGACCGACACGACAGATACGACAGATACGACCGACACGACAAATACGACCGACACGACAGATACGACCGACACGACAAATACGACCGACACGACAGATACGACCGACACGACGAATACGACAAATACGACAGATACGACCGGCAGATACGACAGATACGACCGACACGACAGATACTACAGATACGACCGACACGACAAATACGAAAAATACGACAGACACGACCGACACGACAGATATGACAAATACGACCGACACGACAGATACGACAGATACGACAGATACGACAGATACGACAGATACGACAGATACGACAGATACGACAAATACGACCGACACGACAGATACGACCGACACGACAGATACGACCGACACGACAGATACTACGGATACGACCAACACGACAAATACGACAGATAAGACCGACACGACAAATACGACAAATACGACAGATACGACAGATACAACCGACAGATACGACCGATAATACAATAAGTACTAACGATACGAACGA